CGAGGGCCGGTATACCATCTTGGTCGCACTGCGACGCGTCGTTTGATGCATCTGAGGTGGTTGGCAATCGTCGATGTTCCAATGCTTTTTCGCGCAGCTATCATGGTGCGCGTGAGTTCGCATCGCACCCTATTTTCTTTGGTGCCCTGGACAGTGGAATGGTTTCAGGCCCAACATCGATCTTGCCCACAAACAGCAACGCGAAACAATGAGGTTGTCGCGTGCGTGTGCTCTGGTCAAGTCGTGATGTGTTGGTGCTCGAACCAGCGCCTTCGTGGCGCCTCCACGGCAGTGTCAACTACAAATATTCTCTCCAGCTCCATCAACGTCGACTCGACGGCCGCGATCCTGCAACCTAAGGACGAGGAGGCACTGGTATTCCAATTTCGAAAAGGTGTGTGTGTGAGGCGGCGTTGGTGATAATGGGTGCATTAGACTGCACTACCCTTGGCTCTCACCGTGCCACTCGACTTTGATGCCACGTGGGAGGTACGATGATTTCTAGCAATACCACCCACCACTCCAGCCCAACGACTGCCACCTTATCCACAACCACGACTGCAACTGCCATACTTCGCCACGCTGGGCAGCAACAGCATCGATGCCACCATCACCCTGACCATCGCTGCGCTGCTGGTAGCACGTGCACTAGCACCACCATAACCACTAGTACCATGACAGTCGTCCAGTGTTTCTCGGTGACTGTGGTGGTGCTGGTGTAAGCGGTAGCATTGGCGGTGGTGCCGAGTGAGGCCATGATGGTGCGGTAGGGGCAAGCTTTATGGAAGCGATGCACCACATCAACCCTGTTGCCTCTGTCTCTACTTCAAAGGCCCTTCACGACCCATGTAGCTGAAGGACTACCGCTATGGCTTTCTCCACCTCCTCTCATGATCCAAAGGCGGGTGCAGAGGCTCACTCGTAGTATGACCAGCATCGCCCCGATTATCAATTTCTAATTACTCCACTATACATATGGATTCATTGCACAATTCGCTGTGGTGGCGTCAGCCTAAACGGCGCGGCTCTACAAGTGGTGCCAGAGGGTCGAGTTCCACCAGCACACTCACGACCATCGCTGCAGCAATAGTAAATTGACGTGGCAACCGCACACCTTTTGGTAACCTCACTCGACGTCCTTGCGCGTCTGTTCTAGCCCGATTGTGCAAGTTCCCCATGTTTTGGGCGATGCCAATCCGAGTGCAGATTCGCCAGGTATTCCATGTCACTCCTGCTTATTCAGTGGAAAGTGGGCTAGATAGTGTCTTGGACACTACCCTCTTTAGAAGGTGTTGGCATTGCTTTGACAGGAACGCAACGATATCTTTGGTGGGTCAACGTCGCACGGCGCACGTTCCACCAGACGGTGTTTCTTCGAAATACAACGTGAAGTGGCAAAGAGCGCTCCTCTGCCGGCGATTTGACTTACTCGATGTTGCAATGAATTGTACTTACGAGAGTGGAGCCACTTGGTGGTCGCAGACGAAGTTCGAACTGCAGCGTCCTGTTTGTACTCGTTGCCTTGCCCTACGGCGGTCACCGCCGCCGTGTCACACGCTTGGCGCGATCTGCAGGCAGTCTTTTTCGCTGAAATTTTCACTCGAGGCGCGGGGGATCCTTCGTCCCATGCCTTACAACTCGAGCGACGGAACACCCAAAGGGGTGGACTGTCATGGAACGGTCCACCAGGAGATCGCATAGCACGGCCAGGAGACAGGGGCCGCTCTATCAACTTGAATTATTCACGACCTATCCAAGTCAAAATAAATCTTCAATCAAAATACAGATCGATGGGCATATACCGATTTAACTATGGGCATGTATCGACTTAACTATGGAATGTTGCAGATTTATGAGTTTATTTTGAGCGAGTTGCTTTCCGGATGATTTTTCGACTTGCAAACCATCGAATTTGCTCTTACACGTCGGATGGTGTCCAACAGATATCATATCCAAGGGATCACCCACGTCGTGGACGTTGTGGGTAACGACACAAGATACATGCTTCGTCAATGCATGCCCAGGATAGCGGCGAAGGCCTCCAGCGTCGCTCGTTCCAGGGCTCGCCACGATGCAAGTTGTGAGATCGTAGGGAGGTTCCCCAAAACTTCGCCCGACGCGAGCTCTGGCTCCTGAATGTGTTCTAAAGTTCGACAATTATCTTGGAATTTGTATGGGTTGCAGTAGCGCACGCGATCGCGATGCCAGAGCATACAAATTGCAAGTCAAATCCTAGCTTGGGCTAGCGTTACTGCTCGATCTTCGCCTGGTGTAACTTCGAAAGGCCGGGGTTGACCGCCCTTTTATCATTGTTTCTTTGAGGGGGCGACTGCTGCTTCTTCGTGCTGGGTCTTGCCATCGAGCGCTGGACGACGAAGGAGCGCAGCGGTACCATCATGTTCAAGAAGAATGGACCTCCCCTGAGCTCGCAAGAGCAGTACGCGGAATCCACCACTCCTGTGCGCGGTGAGGCTGAAATCACGCGCCGCGTGGTGGAAGGCAGGCCGACTGGCAATCCTGAAACGTCGGACCCGCGAGGGCCGACGCAAGCACCGGTCCAAATGACAGACGCCGCCGTTTTCAACAACGGCAAGGATAATGTCATCTCTGTGCATGGGTACATGCACAAGCAAGGGAAGCGGTCGATCAAGGGTCCAATCCACAAGAGCTGGAAGAAGCGCTACTTTGCGCTGGAAAAAGCCAAGATCTACTATTTCCAAACACATTTGGAGTGCCGACAGTACTTTACGACGCGTAATGTGGACTTGGTCGTGGGTGCGATCGAACTGAAGGACGCCCTGCAGCTGCGCCCATCGGCGCGTCTTGATCTTCCGACCAAAGGGTTCGAAATTCACACGAAGCGTCGTGTGTGGGTGTTGTGTCCAGAGAGCGACGAAGAGTACCGCATGTGGTTTCAAGGCGTTGAACAAGCCATCGTGGCGAACGGTGCGGGCAACGTCATTGAGCGCAAGCTGCCCAACGTCCGCAAGTATGAAATGAAGGGCACTGGCACGTACCGGGTGCTCTACTTGCTGTTCATCCTGGCGGGTCTTGTTGAGCTGACAGGCTTTGTGTTTTGGTTTGTTGTCGGGTTGCAACCCTGTGACCAGGCTCGGCTGACCGTGTCGTGCGATATTATCACGCAGCAATCCATGGACGACCTCCACTGCATGAACCGTCCGTTCAACGGCGTGTTCCAACCTCCGCGATGGTGGCTCGAGTTTGCCGGAGTCCAAGACGTTGTGTGCTTTGCCAAGCCCCCGATCGCGCAATGGGTTTCGTACTTCAGTTTGTTGGCGGCCGAAACGCTCAGTTTTGTGCTCGGGGCGATCTACTACCTTGGCATGTGGAAACCTGTGCGTCGCGGCGCGCACTATTTGGATGAGTTTGAGCCCAAGCTACCCGACGAGCAGTGGCCCAAGGTCGACGTGTTTATCTGTCACTACTCTGAGCCTGCAGAAGAAACGATCGATACGTTGGCGGCTTGCATGAATTTGCAATATCCGCCCCACTTGCTCCAAATTTACATCCTCGACGATGGGTACTGCAAGGCCAAGTGGACTAAGGGCAACCCCGTCCCGACGATCGAACTCAACAAGAGCGTCCTTGAGAGCGCTGGAGACCTCCGCCAGGAAGTAGCTCAGTTCATGTACGATCGCGTGTGCGACCCGAACGAAGAGATGGAAGTGTACGCGTGGCGCAAGCTCCACTCGGCGGCCAATCTCCCTACTGCATCGCGTCCGCGTGTTGTCAACCGCGCCGACTGCGCGGCCGGATCTTTCCGCGATGACTACCGCTACAGTGGCTTGCCACACGTGACATTTGTCGGTCGTGTCAAGCCCCCCACGCACTACTCGAAGGCCGGGAACATCAACAACGCGTGCTTCAATGAAGGCGCGAACGGGCGATACTTGGTTATTCTTGACAACGACATGCAGCCGCACCCTAAGTTTATCTTGGCGACGTTGCCATTTTTCTTTGACTCGGAAGATCGGACGAACGCGGGCAAGTTTGCATGCTGCACGACCGGATGCAACCGCGTCGCGCGCATGGTGTGCTCGTCGTGCAAGATTGCTGGCGTTCCTGAAGACCAAATCAGCTACTGCTCCAAGCAGTGCTTTGAAAACGCCATGCACACGGCGAGCGCGCTCCATCGCCGCCAAGTGAACGGCACTATCTCGGACAACAATGCGGCCGTGAAGAAGGAGCTCCGGTGTGTGTCGTGCAACTCCAAGGTCGACAAGAGCGGGGTATGCCGCCAATGCCAAACTTCAGTCGACGTCCGCGAACACGACGCGGAGGTTGCGGACCTCAACTATTACTCTGACGCAGTCAAAGACAACGCGGTCGCGTTTGTCCAGACGCCGCAGTACTTCCGCGATTGCGTCCAATTTCAAATTGGCGACCCCTTGGGCCACCGCAATGCGACGTTTTACGATGCCATTCAAACCGGTCAAGATGGGTACGACTGCGCGTCGTTTGCCGGAACGAACGCGATTTTCCGGCGCGAAGCGCTGGATTCTATTGGAGGCATTCAGTACGGCAGTTTGACGGAAGATTGCTACACGGGGCAGCAATTGTGCGCGATGGGATGGAAGGGGTTGTACTTCCGCAAGGACTTTGAAGGCGAGATGTCGGAGCGCATCCGTTTGGCGGAAGGGCTGATCCCAGACAACGTGGCGAGTTCGCTGGCGCAGCGCAAGCGTTGGGCCAAGGGCAACTTCCAAATCATGCTCATGAACAAAAAAAAGAACTACTTCGACAAGGAATGGAAATGCCCCGTCACGGCTGTCCCCAACAACAAGAAGGCCAACTCGTTCATGCGCAAGGTGTTTTACATCAACTCGACCATTTACCCCGTCAACTCGATCAACGCGATCCTGTTTTACTATGTGACGCTGTACTTTTTGTACACGGGGTACGCGCCCATCTACATGGCCGGTCTCCGTCTGCTGTACGCGTTGGTGCCCAAGCTCTTGATCCAAGGCGCTCTCTCGGCATTGAGCAACCGCAGCGTTGAAAACAACGACGTCGTCCGGTCCCAGGAAGCCTGGTTTGTTTACGCGTTCACTCACACGTCGGCTGTGTTGGAAACGTTCTGGTGGAAGATTACGGGCAAGGAGCCGACGTGGTTCGTCACGGGGAGTTCGTCACGCGGGTCGATCACGGAGCTCCCCAACGTCCTCGTGTTCTTTGGCCTCGTGTTTGGCTGCTTGTGGTCAGTCATTCGCTTCTTTGCCTCGTACAACTCATTGCAAACGTCGCACGGAGCATCGCTCTTGATTGCGAGTCTCATGATGGGGCTGTACATTGCCACGAAGCTCGGTCCCAGCGTCCGCATGAGCATCCAAGAGTACTTTGGGTGGAGCTACCAGAGCTTGATGGACCAAGGCAACTTCTTTGGCCAGTCCACGATCTCGTTTGGCCTGGTCGTGATCACCCTGTGGGTGTACATGGAGAAGCCCACGTCCAACCCGTTCTAGCCGGACTTGCCTCAATTTAATTTCCCCTTCGTTTAGATAAGAAAATGCATATGCCATTTTTTCGTATTTTCTGATTGGCTGCATTCTCTCTACTTGGCCCAAAATCTTAATATGGTCCCCGTTGTGGATGGCTAGACGAGTTTTGATTGGCTAGTTGAACTTCTCACAGGCAAGGACCGTAATCCGAAAATTGGAGGCATTTTATCCGTATGTCGTCGCCTTGTGGCGGCGCTGGTGCCGCTCATCCGATGTACGATCGTTACGCCAGCTTCCAGGGAGATGCTGTCGTTGTGTCACTGAATACGCTCGCATTCGTGCGTGGCGCGCTGTTTAGCATTGACCCCGAGAATGGAAATGTCGTTTTATTCGAGTGGTTGCAAGACGAGAACAAGGTTGTACGGACTCACACGGTAATGGCACATGCAATTATGTCGATCAAACTCGACACTGACGAAGGCGGAACGGATATCAACACCATTCGTCAACGCCTGGCTGCCACTATGCCTTCGAGTGCTGCGAACTCGACACCTGTGGCCATCCAGCAATACCTACAACAGGTGAGGACGACACAACGCCAGTGAATCGCGTCGAAACCATACGTCTCAAAAATTGTCTAGCATTGCATCGAGGCGACTATTGACAACGTGTCAAAGGATCTCATCGTGTTTGGCGGGGCTGCGACGATCGCACCGCCGTACGACGAGTTTTCAGTGTGCGCGACGAATGGCTTGGTCTTGGAACGTTTGACGCAGCTTCTACGTTTGTGTAACGCATAATACCCGGCGATGTATTCCCCAGCCTCTGTAAGTGTAATCGTCCTTGTCGAGATATACTCATTCCCTACGCCAGATGCGCAAAACACTTCATCATTCACCGCGCACCCTTCGGCCACTTCCCCAGCGTCGGAATTCTGGCGCCATCGGCGCTTACCAACTAAAATCCCGCCACTTATCCAACGGCCAAGTGATTTCAGTTCTATATGGGGTTGATATTTTCGTGGGGGTTGGACGTATCTTTCCGCATCGCCAGCTGGGAGTGGAGTTCAAATTTTTGATAATTGTAACTTGAAATTTGTATAGGAAACCATCTTCTGCTCGTTAAAAATAGCCTGTTGACAATATTTTTTTGCCTTCCAATTTCAATACAAATATCAAGAATATAGAATAGAACACACTGTGACACCACCGTTTTGAAACCGGAGAGGTGGCTGGCTCGCTTTGATAGTCGGAAGCAACCCAAGACGAACGACACACAGATGGACGCAGCCTTCGCATCCCACGCGCTAACGGAGGCCGAATGCACGCGCATTGCAGCCACTGGAAAGCTCCACATCACGCTTGACGACATGAAAAAGCAGTATTACATGAAGTCGATTGAAGACTTGTACGGCCCTGGGTTGCTTGTGCTGCGAAAGTACGCAGAGGGCGAGGTGAACGACCTTAGTGCCACGACAGCGCGCCTTCCAGAGGTGACAAATCGAGTCTCGTCGTGGCTACGATCGGCGGAGCAATCTGACGAAAGCAACAGCTCCATTCAGACCCCTCCAGCGAAGCAACCGTGGACAAGAAGCCTCGTTAATGCATTTGTGACCCCAATCAAGCCTCGAAGCACCTTCATGGTCTCAAGAGCCCATACCGAGGAAGAAGAATGCGATGAAAAGCAGCACTCTCTACAGAATTCCATGGTGTCATCGAATGTAGCGACAGAGACGTCCACAAGCTGCACAATGCACGTCATCACCTCATTCACCACGTCGACGTCGTTTGGCGATAGCTTTCAATCGCCCGTTGAATCTGCCTCCCAGATGCGCAGACCCCATGAGTCAACGCCGCAGGAGTTTGCAACCCCCGCGCCGTCCTCACGCAAAAGCAGTCGGCTCTTGCAAGTTCAACTCCCTGACGTGATGACAAGCGCGTTGACACCCTTGCCTTCAAGACTTGGCCTACCGGATTCCTTCGGCATTTCCCCCGTGATTGCCGACACCAAGAAGAAGGCGGCTGCACTGCAATTGAAGAAGCGGCAGTTTGAAGCGCCAACCGCCACTCCAGTGAAAGCTGCATCGACAAACCCAGCAAACCCTGCTGAAGACGACGACGATGTCGAAGTGGACATCGTGCTGCGCCACGAAGAGTTGACGGAGCGGCCCCGCCGGTGGTCTCCACCCGATTTTTTCAAGCGCTTTAGGTCGTCGGACAATGAACCGATCGTGGATTCACCCTTCCGGACACCAACCAAGGCCCTGGACAACATCCTTGAGATGCCATCAGAATCCTCTTCCATATGGGACCGTCTAAAGGCCATCCGCGTACCAGACATCCTGGCCGAAGGCCTGGCCATCTCCACCCACACGTCTACGGACTTGCTTGAGAACCATGACGACCTTTACGACGACAACAACGACGCGGACGAGCTCTGCTGTGGGTTTGACCTGATGAACGTCGACCACGGCGACGACGACGGCATTGCAATGTCGAACGAAGGGGCGGAGGAATCTCCTGAACACCCGCTCACCATCGAGTTCACGCTGACCCCCATGACAGCTTGCCACCACACGACCCACGAACGCCGAACATCTTCCCGCGTGACCTCCTCCCCAAAGACTGCACTGCCGCCTACTCCCGTGGCCACAGCGACCCGACGACGCACACGCAGCCAACGCAAGAAACGTCTTACCCGAGGTGTGTCGATGTCGAACGTGGCGCGGTGCGGAGACACGTCGCCTCTTCCAGAACTGTCGGCCCCTCCGAGAGGCTGCACGGACTTGTGCCACCAGTGGGGTCGATTCTCCACTTGTGGCCGAATGCACGGCCGGTGGACCCCCCCGCAAAGTAGCACCGCTGGCAGTGCTATCTAAGCTGCTTCCACTGCGAGCATGCCCGATCCTCCGTCTGCTGTATAAAATATGTGTGGCATGAGTCAAGCCCCCCTTCAGGACTGTCGCTACAACCAACTCAGTCGCTCACACCAGCGCTTTCCGATGCCACCCGAATCCAAGTTACCGACGGACCCATGTATTTCAGAGCCCAGTAATGAAACTAGTTGCGCGAGTCGAGTCCACACTTGAGTTCGGGGTGGGAATTGCGCGAATTGTTCCCAGACATCCATCCGCATGCATAGATGGTTCCGAGTATGTCGCGCAATACACTAGACCAGTTTTAACTGGTGACGTCTTCTTAAGCGGCACTGTGGATCGAATCCACCGTCGGTCTTCGCGCACCATGTTACCTGAGGACTTCAAACAGTGTCCGTACTACAAGGACCGGAGAGGTGTTTGGATTACACGAAGAGATGAACACCCACATTGCGCAAGGTCCAGATTCGCCTTGGCTTGGTCGTTCTCTCGCGGCAACAAATACCTCGTCACGGTGGCCCCACTGATTATTCCATGCGTCTCGAGCATTTTTCCTTCAGCATGGAGATTATGCGCCGAAAAAGGTAATCGAACTTAAGCGAACAACTAGTCCTTCCAAGGCGTTCGAGGACGAAGGGTGTTCCACCATGTTCCCAGGAGGCAGAGGCACGCTACGGCAACCTTGCAGGCACTATAGCAGGCCATTTGACAAGCATCCCCCTCGCCGACGCCATGGCATCTAACCTCTCTGACACCCCTGCCTGGACCATCGACACACCTACGGAATCTTTGTGGGCTGCCGAGGACGAATTGCGCCAGCGCCGCCAGACTCTGGTACCTTTCCCTCTCTACACGCGATGCATGCAGGGCATAACGATCGTCGTGCGACTCGCTGTAGATCTCGGACCATCGCAACGATCGTCGCAACTTCAAACAGCGTTTTGACACGTACAGGAAACTCATGGCGACGAATCCACACATGCGATCGAACGCTGAAATGCAACTCCAAATGATGAACCAACAAAAGGACGTCGCCAAGGAGAACTTTGAACGAGAGATGGACAAGGTAGTAAGCCAGATCGAAACGATCGAGCGCCTCGTGGATCGGCAAATGTTACTTGGTACAGCAGTTGCTCAAACTAATGTCAGATCTCTCCCTCACAATCTGCCCAGGGTCTCGAGCATCCGTGTCATCCCCGCCGTCTACGGAAACTGCTCAACTAAAGGCATCCATTGACCGCCTTTCGTTGCAATGGGGCGAACTGCGCTCAGAAGTCAACATCTTCAAGTGCGAGTTTTCGCGCCAGCTGGACGACCTCCGTCAAGTCGTGGCGACGTTGCGAAAGTAGGTGTGACCAAACGTTCATGCGACATAACACTATGTTCCTATCTGCGTTCCATGCGGTACTGGGCCAACTAATATCGCCTTGGGACCTCGTAAGCCGGGGAGATGGGTCCATTGCACTCGACGACCACGGCGCGCTCAAATGTACGCATTGCGTTCAAATTCAAGGAAGAGTGCAACGACTACCATGACTCCGTGCCAAACGCCAACTTTACCAGATCACGCTGGTTCGATTTGTGTGGAACGCTGTGGACGAACAACCGTCATCAGCGGTGAACCCTCAACAATCGGTATGAGGGGATTCGTCAAGCGCCATGAATGGTTTTGCTCAATCTTGCCATGCAGCACTACCAATTGCTGGCGCTGCATACATAGAAGAAGCAGGCATACACAGACAGTGCACATGGCGGTGTTCGATGCAGCATGGTGCGAGAGATCGCCGCGTACTCGGCGCTTGTGAGTGAGATGGGTTTGGACATCCGGAGGAACACTCTGTTATCCGGAAACCCCGCGGCCTGACCCCATATTGCAAGATGTCGTTTTTTGAAACCAAGGTGAAGAAGCCGATCGTGGACTTGCTGTCGTCGGGGGGTGCGTGGACGCGACCTTCCTGCGTGCTGTCATGTTGAGGCAAGATCGTGTGTGTGCTAGTTTCCCCTCATGCACTCGCGTTGTCGATGGCCTTTGGTGTTACCTGTGGTAAGTGCCATCCCGTGACAGCCCACGCATTCATTGACACACGAAATAGGAGTATTCCCGATCCCTGGTCTTACAACGGTGCCCGTTGTGATTGTCGTGTTCCTGCTTGGGCTGAACCCTGTCGCTGCCATGCTTACCAACTACCTCGTGACACCGTTGAACATTGCGTCCGTCCCTGTATTTGTGTATGTGATATGTATTTGGGTGAAGCTGAAGCGATACCAACGAGATCAATCCAGGGCTTATGGAAACCAGTACTTTGGAGATAGTAAAGAAGAGTTCTCTGTGAACGCACTCTTCTCGGTCGGTCGACTTACCAGTTCCCCTTCCATCCCTTTGTCCTGACACACTTAAGCTTAGGGTCTGCAAGAAGACTTGATCGGGACGCTGTCCCAGTTTCGGTTCATTCTACTCAACGCCATTTACATGTGGGCGGTGTTTTTGTTGATTGCGACGCCGCTCGTGTATGTCGTGTTGTACCCCATCCTCAAGTGTAGCATGGGAAGCAAGGCGACGCCTCCGTCGGCCAAGAAGACGAGCTGATCGCGCTTCATGTCGAACACGGACAGCGTGAATGCATCACGCTGTCTAAATGAAAATGGATGCTTTCAATCTGTCGACGACGACCGTGAACTAGACGGGGCCATCGCGACCGGCTCATACGTGGCGCCGCGTCCTCGCGGGCACTGGAACACGCCGTTGATTTCTTCGAGGGTCAACCCTTTGGTTTCGGGCAAATGGAGCACCAAAAACCCAAACCCGGCGAGCGCGATCGCACTGTACAGCCAAAACGTGACGTATGTCGACGTGGCTTGAATCAAACTCAAAAACGTCATCGACACAATCAAGTTGGAGACCCAGTTGACGGCCGTCGCAATGCTGATCGCGGCACTGCGGACGGACAGCGGGTAGATCTCGGCGTTGATCGTCCACGGCATTGGGCCTATGCACGCACGGATTGTGAAACAACATGCCAAGAACAGGACAAGGGCGGGGCCTACCCATTCCAGTCGCAAAGCACGCCAGGTACGCGAACAACGACACCAAGATGACATAGCCGGGGGAATGCGATGCATTGGGGCACACATCGAACGCCCACCCGGACGAGCATGCAGTATGAGTAGGTCCTGCCGCCGTGCCTGGGTAGCACATGCCACTGGTTGGAATCGTTGTGGACGTTGACACAACGGATGGCTCGAACGCCATCGCCGGGCAAAACCCGCATCTCGTGCTGGCGACACAATCAAAGCACGTTGTGAACTTGGCACAGTCGCCGATGCCACCATGCACCGGCAGAGATTCGGTTTCGGCAAAGAGGAACCCAGCCCCAAGCACGATGAGCATCACAATGACACCGACGAGGCTGGACAACGTGAGTATTCGTCTACCCATGCTGCACACATGGAACGTGAAGAGGAAGGTCCCAACGCGTGGAGGTACCGATCAACGAGGTAGATGCCGACAAACGTAAAGAGAAAGTTACTCAGGGCGACGACGGCCCCGAGCCAAATCGCTACGTGGTTGTCGGTGAAGCCGGCCATTCGAATGATAGTCACGCCATAATACATGACGGTGTTGATCCCGCAAAACTGCTGCAGCATCTACAGTCGACACACTGCAGAGTGCTGTTCTGCATGCCAAAGCGTACCTGCAGGACGCAGCCCAAGACGACTGCGCGACGGACGGGCGGAGACTGTAAAGCAGTCATGATGCCAACGGAGGCGCTGCCTTCTCGAGTAGTCACCTCAATTTCCATACTTTTGAGTTCGTCCGAAAAGTCCTTCTCGCCGCGAATCGACGCGAGAGCGTCTGTCGCGGCGGCCAGCTGCCCATGCTGCACGAGCCATCGAGGGGACTCTGACGAATAGATGAGACGAAAGCAAGAGAATGTGGCCGAAGTGGGACGGTTTGAGCGATACCAGGAAGGAAGAGGAACCCGAGGAACTGCAAAATCGCAGGAAGTGAAGCAAGTCCGAGCATGTAGCGCCACCCCCACGGAGAACTGCTCAGAATGGCGGCAAAGACCGTGGCGAAGAATTGGCCACCCGTGACCAGAAGAGTGTTGAGGGACACCAGCGTGCCGCGCATATCTGGCGGTGAGACTTCAGCAATGTATAGGGGCACTGTCCTCAATGTGAGATGAAGACGAAGCGTGGAGAAGGGAGTTTATCGGAGATCACACCTGTCATGGAAGAGAGACCGAGGCCAAGCCCAACTAACAGCCGACCGACGACAAGCTCCTGCACGGACCGCGCGAATCCCATGCAAAGTGCACCAACGGCAAAGAGCATCGCTGACAACAGGATGACTTTTCGTCGACCGACCACTTCATTGGCACAACTGCCGGCAATGGCGCCGGCGATAGCACCAAACACGGTCGCAGACACAACGAGCTCACATTCAAACGCCGTCAATTGGAATTCCTGCTGCAGATAGAGAAGCGCACCAGAGATGACACCCGTGTCATAGCCAAACAAGAAGCCGCCGATCGTAGACACGAGCGTCAACAGCGTCAGGTTCCCGCGCCGCATTGACGTGTCCCTGGGAGCAGTTGGGCGTCGTTCTGACAGGTACGATGCAAGCTAGTAGCCTTTTCATTGGCAAAAATACATCTAATTCCCTTCATGTTATGTATTTTAGCGAATGAAAATGTATCTTAAAGAATTATGCAGCCAATAAGATTGTAACAATTGATTTTGTTATTCCTCATTCCCGTTGAGGTCGTCATCAACCTTCCATGGGGACAGAGTCACTGGACCAGCTACGAGACGAGCTCGCAGCGACTCTTGCAAAGGAACAGTCTATTAGGATGTCCCTCGAGTCATACGTCAGGCGCACGTCTTCTGCTGCCGGCGACGCACCCTCGGAGCACGAGCTGTTGACTCAACAGACCAAAACGTTGCTGCAGTTCAAACAACAAGGCGGAATCGAGACGTTGCGCCGCCAAACCGCGCAAGTAGGTGCTGCTATCGTGAGCGCAAACGACGTGGCAGAAAAGATGACACGGGAAGTGCGCAAACTGGGCAAGATTCAAGAACGATTGAAGGCGACCGTCGAGCGAAGTGATTGCATGCTGCGCATCCGTCAAAGCATGCAGAGGTTGAAGGCAAGCATGACGGAAAAGAACTACATGGATGCAGCTGCGTGTTTAAAAGAATTGCGTGCCATCGAAGCCATGCACATCCCGCTCGACGTGAGCGACACACTTCGCATGAATCATGCCGAAAACGACATTCGGTTTGCCATCGAGAATCAACTGGACGCCGCGCTCCACAACAAGGACACCCGAGAGCTCCTCCGTGTTGGTTCAATCTTTGAACCGATGCAATTCGCCGAAGAAGGAGTTCTAATGGTGCTCAAATTCATCCAGACGCAGCTCCAAACTCAGCTCGACGCCATCGTTGGACCACCCAACGCTGTGTGGAGCGTTTCCGAACTCACGACGCAGCTCGTCCAAGTAAGTCCCCTTTCCATCACCGTGCTCCATCCATGGGTATGCATGTCTCTTCACACAGGTTGCTGCAGGTGTTCAACTGCGTTGCGGAAACCACAACTTTCTACGAACCACTCTTGGTGCAGTCATTTCAAGCAGTCCATGGCGCCGAACGAATGCTGACTGCCGTGTACTTACAAGGCACCCCCCCTGCAGTGTCCATTCTCACGGCATACGGCAAGCAACGTGGCTTGGCAAGCCTCTTAGCAAAAGCTCGGGCGCTGGCAAAGCCGGCCCCGCCATCCCAGCAGCAGCCATCAACAACGCAGCCGCCATCACCGTCCAAGTTGTCAACCTCCTCGTCGTTCAACGATGAACTGGATCTTCATCCGTACCTGAATGAGCTCGTGATGATGATCCAGCACTCGCAAACGTTTGAGCGGTTCATGCGGGGGCGGCAGACGCATTACTTTGCCCACTCCCCCGCGACATCCCCTCGTCACGGCACCGCCACGACCAACCACAACACGACAACAGCCTTGCCGTCGTACAACGCCAGCGCGCTCAACCAGTGTGTGCAGGACCTGGCAGGGTACTACTGCTCGCTTGAAGAGCAGTCGCTTCTGTACGCTGCGAAAAAGGCGCTGGCCCTGGAAGAGATGCGGTCCGTCGTGTTGGAAGGCGACCAGCTCGTTCCACTCTCGTCCATTGTAGACGAAATCTTTTACGTGGCGAGGCTCTCTGGCGCCAGAGCACTTGCTACGGGACACGTCGACAGCGCGTGTGGCGTGCTCAATGTAATCGCGACCCTCGTGCAAGCAACGGTCGGAGACGTATTCAAGAGCCGCGTGCAAAATGTACTCAAGGACAGCACAGGCGTGTTTGGCGGCGCTGCGCTCGGGCTGTTGGCGACGCTGAACCCCAAACAACTTCGGGATCACATGGCAAACCAGCTGCAAGCAACACTAGGGAAGAAGGTGCCCGGCGGGTATCTTTCGTCCCCGCCGACATCGAATCCACGCACGTCGACGACAAATGCCGCGATCGCGACACAACCTAAAGGAGCCAGTGGCGCGACTGGAATGACCCTTGTGTTGGCGCCGCCCGTAACCATGAACAGCTTGGACGCGATCGTGCAGTACTTGGCACAACTCCAAGCGTCGTTTGAGCAAGAAGTGGCCACCACGTTTCCGAACCACCCCCCTCGCATGACGTCTTGCTTGCTGGGTACGCGGACAGGATGCGGCGGTCGTTCATGCCACTTTTAGGGCTGGAAGAAACCGCAAGCGAGTACAAGGCGCTCCTCTCGACGTACCACGACACGGTGATTCAAAGCATGTTCCAGCCCAAAGTGGCGTCCACCGTCGCGCCGCTGTTCAAGCGCATCTCATATGACCTTACGGAGGTTCAATTTACTGCGAATGAGGCGAACGACCCATTCGTGCACGCTCTCGTGCAAGCTGTCGCGACGTGGGTCGAGCCGTTCGAGGCGCACTTGTCGAGAACCAACTTTGCTACGTTGATGGAAGGCGCGGCGGACGTCGTTGTCGACACCGTTAGCGCCATGGTGTGGACGAAATCGTTCAACCAGCTGGGTGCGTTGCAGTTGGAAAAGGAAGTGCGCGTCCTCGCGGGGTACTTTGGAGCCAAATGCCACCACAGCACCAGACACGACCAGACGTTTGCCTCGCTGCGTCAAACTGTTCTGGTACGACCATAGCGCGAGTTTGTTGTCGGATGCGATTCGGATCTTGTCACGGACATGCAATGCTTTTGTAGGTCTTGACTGTGGACTCCCTGGACGACATCGTTGACGTTGTTGGGCGGCCGACGAAAGGTGTCGAGTGGAAGGTGCCGAAGGAACGGGTCACCGACTTGCTGCACTTGCGAGTGGAGTTTAGCACGGCTGCCGTCGCCGCCATGAAGGTCTAGCTCGTGCCCGTCGAACTGCCACCTATCGTTGAACTGCTTTAACCACCCTCCTCTGACTGTGATACCCGACTGATCAGACCGTCGAGACATTGTGCCTGGCGATGCGTTCAAGAAGGCGTCGACGCCGACACCTGAAAAATGCTTCTCGCTCGGTCTGGATGGAGTTGGCAATTGGACCCCGTACTAGGCTAAGCTGCACAGAACGCTAATCGAAATACAGCGTGGGACACTCTTGCAGAAGTCATCGGTCATCCTGCAGAACAAGATGTGTGATGACTGAATTCATGTCGTTGCAGCTTGGCTGCTTCCTTGCTCACGTCGCAGACAGACGCATTGATTTTGCAACGATCCCCTTTGGCAGCACACGACCCCCTCGCGCGAGCCCTCAAAGATTCCATTACTGACCGTTCCAAGTGGCGCGACGAGCGTGAAATGGCGTTTGACATCTCATCCAGGGCCTCAGAGAATGTGGTGTTTGCCAGAGCACGTGCACCAGAATTGAGTTAGAGGGTCGACAAAACTTGGTAAATCACGAACGGGGTCAAAGCCGTAGCGCTGGGCGGACGCGTCGCCACATCGAGCTCCGACTCCGTCAACACAATTCCTACAATTCAACTGACATGTGAACGACTCATTCACGCCTCTCTGCTCGTGATCGGGACGTCATGAGCAAGCGGGGTCGATGCTACTTCGCAGTCGCGTTAGAATGGCTCCCCAACCTGGCAAAGGAAGATGGAGATAAGCACTCTGCTATTTGTTGCGACCTATTCCTTGTGTCGAGGTCGTTCGGTGACACGTCGGCGAAGGGACCGGGAGGAACATCCGTGGCTATCTATGGAGCATGCGAGTACATGTGTATTCATGGTTATCCTTAGGAAATCAAGATCATCCACCCAATGAAGAGGTAGAAGAGAAGGACAGGGTATATGGTTAGCGCTTTTCGCTTGGGCGGCACGAGTTGGGACATGAATACGACCGACGCTAAAATGGTGCAGGTCAAGGAGCGAGGACGGGAACGGCAAGCGCGCACCTCGAGTGGACCAAAGGAAACCGACGGCCACGACTACGAGGCGCACAGTCACATGGCCCAGGTACACGAGCCGGAAGATCGTGTTGATGAGGGTCGCGATTACCAACGGAAACACGCAGTACCCCAAAACGCAAATGCTCTGGAAGAATGAGATTGTGCTGCCCAGGAGCTGCGCATTCACAGTCACCACAGCAGCACCAGCCCACACGACGACAAACACACCCGTGAACACCATCGCGGATTGATTTGTCGGCGCCGTGATGCTCAACATACTAACTCAACAGTCACTTTCGGAAACACACGCAGGAGGATATCCGCCGTACATGGACAAAGTCAAGCATACAAGGAGGGGCCCCCACAAGTCCCAGTCACGCAGTGCATGTAGAGTTTGGTCGGACGTGTTCTTGGGCATCAGAACGACCTTGAGCTTTGATCCCACAAGGCGAACATCGCGCAGCTACACGCACCGTCACATGACCATGGTACACATAGCCAACGTACAATCGTCTCGGACACTGGCTCGTCCAGAGTCGTCTCAGTTTTCTGGTAGATGCTGCCTGACACTTGGTCTGCCATGTTCACCGGTCGGTCGCTCATCGCGGTTGCAACGTCCCACAATGGCAAGAATGAAAAATCCGGATAAAGAAAATTCGATACCGGATAATTGTGCCGCGTGATGAAAAATACACGAAAAACTCAAATGTTTTTCTTGCGTTTTGTCGATTTTATTCCATTTTTCGGCTGTGCCGTTTGCACTATTGTTCTGGAAAAAGATCTGCCACCTTTTGCCGTTCCATTGATACCCGAAATTCAATGTTGCTCGACATTCAAAGAGAAATTTATTGATGTATGGAACGGCACAGGCAACGGCGGAATGATTTGCCTATTGATACATCGAGATAATCATCAATAGAATCATCTGATTGGACGAGCAATTTCGAAATATCAATTTGCCAAGCTAACATGTTTAGAATCTAAATTCACAATCTCGAAACCATATTTTGCAGTTGTATGAAATTGTCATGAAAAGAAATGTCGTTTGAATACAAATATACACGTAGCGCAGACAGATCCGGGCTTCTTGCGCGAATGGTAGGCAATTAGCCAGTTCATTTGGTGTTGATTAATCCAGTTAATAAAAGGCATCATTGCGAATGCACCTTTGCGGTGTCGAATGTCTCGGATGAAGTGTTCTGGGTTATTTGGTTTGGAAATTCATCACATCGTTGATCTTTTTCCGTTTCTTGTTTTCATCATATTTTTGTAGTGAAGAATTTCGGACCGCTACTCCACCCAGTTTCATCTAGTCGAGGAATGTGAAGTTCTAACGACAACTCATAAATTTCTTGAGTTAGTTGGCCTTGACCTTGGACGATTTGTCGTGCAAACAATTTGCTCGAGGCAGCGGTTACGTTTTAATACACAACTGTAGCCACATTATATTAGACTCAAATTCATGGCTCCCACTGCACGCGGGAAACTAATTATCACCGGCCAATTAAGAGCCTGAATTTAGTTTGCCAATTTCTATTAATCGAAAATTGTTCACGAAACTCGATGGGCGAAACAACAATATGGGTCTTCAGGTTATAGTTTTTAACATACATCCATTCCGTCGCTGCGTGTTGTACCGTGACTTCGAGGTGAACAGTTGTGAAATCGTCGTCGTATGTATACTCGTCGATACAGGCAGAGAAATCGTCTAGAATAATGTTCATTATATTTCCATCGTCAGCCACCATACGCCAACGCAATGGCACGTCTTTACGCTGCATTCCAACT